AGGGGATCAGGATATGCTGGCAGCCCATAACGTAAAGAGATTTTGCCAGGGAGTCGTTGAAATGTTTACCCCGAGGATCCTGATCGAGCAGCTTCACGCCTTCTGTACACCGGACATCACCCCGGGGGAACTGATCAAGATAAGCCCCAAAATTGGCTGGCAGTTGTTGCCGGGCGTATTCCTCCTTGATGACAGTAAATTCATCAGGGGATTTAAATACATCCCGAACGGCGGACAGATCCACATCAATTTCAGTAGGACCGTCCGGGATGCGGGGGGGGGGGGGGGGGGGGCGTTTCTGCAAACCTAACCTGAACGGCCTCAGCCGCAGAAACTTTAGCCTGGGCAGTGGCCAGTTGAACTTGAAGTCTGCCCAGCTCATTCTTGAACCCCTGCCTCTCTTCCGCAAAAGCCTTTCGTTCGGCCTCAGAATTTGCAAGGGCGGCAGTAACACCTTGTTCGGGTGAAGTCTGAGCCACGATCAGATCCCGTTCCTTGGCCAACCGGGCCTCCCTTAGCTGCAAGCTGTATAGCCCCACCTACAGAATTCCGTTCGAAAATTGAGATGATATAGAACAAAGGGTAAACATATGGAACAAATTATAGGGAAAAAACAAAGTACCTTTAAGGTCGTTAGGGCCAAACATTCCTCTGCCTGATCGACCGGCAGTTGAGGAACGACAAAGTTATTGAAGAAAGCGGAAGTGGACCAGACTTGGCTCGCAGAACAGCCGACTTTCTCCAATACTTCATGAACGAGATCTGCCAGAGAGATTCGTTTGACCCGTCCAGAGAGATGAACAGTGTGGGTTTCGCCCACATCTATACTGGCATCTTGAGCAGCCTGGAAATGCTCAGTAAAATGATGCAGCTGATCGGACCCAAACCGGTCGTCGATCAACATATCTTCAAGCTGGTCCTGAGGGGGAACCTGCTGAATGGGCTTAGGCTCCTGAGCGGGTTGCGAAGACCCGACATCCTGATGAGTGGAAGTGGAAGGATTGGCCTTGGGGTTCTTCTTTACTTTCTTCCTTTTTCCCACTCCACCGGCTGCTAACACGCGACTGTTATCCATGGAGGCGTCTGAATTGGGAGCTGAAAAATGACAAAGGAAAATATTAGTACCGAACGGTCTTATCACGTGGAAAACAAAGGGGATCAGAACGTTTCTCACACGGGAAGGACCGCCCGGCCCATGGCACTTGGTTTTCAGTCAAGTAAACCCAAGAATACGGACAATACCTATCTCGGCTTTAACGAGCTGATCAGAAGTCCGGTACGTTATGATATTGCAGGTTTTGGTCTCCTCCACAGCAAAAACATCCTTACAGATCATCTCAGTAAGAATCGGATCCGGTGACTTACGAGGGAAGGCGTTCCATTTATTTGGGATCAGACCATTCGGGACAGAAACAAAGAAAACCCGCTCTTTCCACCCCTTAATTGAGGTTAGATTATCCATAAAAAGGATATGTCCCGTTCAGGCAGTTGCAGCTAAATACCCATGAGTCTGCTGGGGGGCTACTTTAAAAATTGGTGGAATAAATCTAAAGTAGGTGTGACTTTAACATCTACACAACGGCAAATAAAGCCAGCCATCACCCGATAGGAGTTCGGCATGACTTGGACTGGTACGATTTCATAGAAATTTAAAAAAGAAACAAAAAAGGGGTGCAATGGGAATCTAAGCCCAGCCTTAACAGAATCCAAGTGGACTACGACCATCCCAGGGAGATGGCGCATTGGGTGAAGCCCAGCCCGCAAACGGAAATTCATTGGGTCTGGAATTAGGGCCGGAATTTGGGCCCTATTGTGAGAAGTTAGCTTTTGCCGCCTTTCCCTAATCAGCCTTAGGTCAATCTTGTAATGAGGAACATCGTCAGGGGGTCCAGCCGCCATGGAAGCAAGTTCATCACCGGACTGCGTATCGTCGGAATCATCATCATCAGAAGAAGAACCGGCGGAAGAATCCTCCGTTTTCGTCCTATTATCTTCCACCACCTGATTTGTGCCCTCAGCAAAAGGGACATGTATGACGTCCACTATGGCGGCATCTTGATTTTCCCCTTGGGAAGCCATTCCCGAATCAAAGGAGCAGGATCGAGGACACATATCGATCAAAGCAAAAGGAGTGGAGAAAGAAATCAAAGAACGAGGAATACCTGAACACGAAAGGAGTTTGAAGGATCTGGAGAGAAGGCAGGACAAAGGCTCGAAGGAAATGAGAATTTGAAACCCTTATCCAAAGAATTCAAGGCCTATTTATAGCCTGACAGGCGCCGAATCGATAACCAACCAGGAGGAGACACGTCACCTAGACTATTTGAAAGGATACGTGTCGCACAGGAGATCAAGGGCCACTAATCATGACGATTATGGAAAAAATCAAACGACAGCCGCAAGAAAGGTACTAGTCATGACATGGGGAACGAGCGAACTCTGGATCCCGATCGCCATTCGGCATGTAAGTTCTACCGGCCAGTCGCAAGAAAGGTACTAGTCATGACATGGGGAACCAGCGAATTCTGGATCGCGATCGCCATTCGGCGTGTAAAATTCTACTTCCCAATGCACTCACTACCGTTCGAGACATCGGAAGTGGTGGACTCGTGTTGGGATATTGGCCCGAATGCCCAATACCCGAATCTAAGGCCCAATATATCTAGTCCAATAAATGGGCCCAGAATCCAGAAGATGAACAGGCTCATGGAGAAATATGTACCGAACGGGGTTCGGATCAACCAATGTACTTGGGCCAGATCAATGATGATTCCAACAGTGTCCACTGCCCATTCGGGCAGCGGGTAACCAACAAGTGGCAGAGAGCATTTATTGTTAAAGTATGGCGGCAACAAGTGGGAGTATGAACTTTCAAGTGGCTGGATTAACAACCAATCAGCATGAAGCACCCCATACCCCCATTAATATAAATAGAAGGATTAATTTCAATGTAAAAGGTTAGCTTCTTGATACTCAAGCCTAGAATAGATTTATCTCTCTTATTTCTTGTATTAGTTACTATTCTGACGTACCGTTCGGGAAGTTTACTGTGTAATCACCAAATTACTTAATACAAATGGGCTTCTGAGTATTCGATTATTCATCTTTGATATTCCTTTAGACACGTGATTCTTGATCCATTTTCCTGACATATCCAAAGTTCGTGTTGGGCTTTCGGATCTGCTGGATCAAACCTCGACATACTGTATATTTCATTTTATTTTATCACTTTTATTATGAAATAAATTAGTAAAGTTGTTTAGTACGAGTTTAATTAGGGACTTTGAATTTTGTTGATTGATTTGAAGCTCGACTACCATTTATTAACAATGTCTTTTCTTCAACATCACAGTCATTTCCACATATTGGTATGTGTACTATCTTATTTTATTCATATTAGTAATAATAAGTTTCGCCATTGCACCCGCTGCTCGAGCTAATTGTCCACCCCTTCCACGTGTAATTTCTAGGTTATGTATAGTCGTGCCTAAGGGGATTTCGGTCAAAGGTAGGACATTTCCAATTTTGATTGAAACATTTGTACCAGAAACAATGGTATCTCCAATTTGAGCCCCTCTCGGATGTAAAATATACTTCTTCTCACCAGTCTTATAATGTATTAGACAAATGTTTGCATTTCTATTAGGGTCATATTCTATGGTTATGATTCTACCATATAGGTCTTTTTCATTCCGTCGAAAGTCTATTTTACGGTATAGGCGCTTATGACCCCCCCATGCCTTGCTGTAATGATTCCTCTAGCATTACGACCTTTACCACAATGATGCTTTCCAGAGAGCAAATTTGTCCTTCGAGCAAATTTTGGGCTGTTTACAGTTTCGATCGGGTTATAAGTTTTGTATAATTGTATTCCCATGATATAAATGATTTTTATTTTGGATTTAAAGTTTATTTGTTTGGAGGTGTAAGCGGATGTCTAATGATCTGCGGTAGCCATTGCATTATATGTCCTCTAATAGGGAGGGCCTACCCTTATGTGACCCTTTGCCAGAAGCGTAGCACTACTCAAAGTTTATGACGTGGATATAAAAAAAAGTCTATTTATTTTTTTAATAACTAAATCCTTTTTTTAATACTATATCTTTTATTCCATCCCGAATTTTAATTCATTCCGTATTATTTTAAGCTGAAATAAAAATGTTAATTTTTAGTGTTGATAGAATCTATCTATATCTCTAATATAGAGATATAGATAGATTCTCTAGATGTATCGGTATCCTAGAATTATCTATTATGATATATGAAATGGAAATAGTCTACATGAAATCTATCTAGGAACATATATCTTATATGATATTTGATATGGACAAATCTATCTAGGAGCATATATATTATATGATATTTGATATGGATTATGAAGGAAATGCTCAAAGTAGATCTATGCTAATATATATATATATCCTAAAATATCACAAAAATATCATAAAAAGAAGAATTGGAGGGTCGATGAGATTTTGTGTAAATAACTAATAGTGCTAATAGTGTGCATCCAGTAGGAATTGAACCTACGACTTCACCAATTATGAGTTGGGCGCTTTAACCACTTAGCTATGGATGCTTAAACGAGACCATCATCTATAAAAATTGAAAATTAAAGTATAATAATTATGGTAATTATTAATCTTGTAATTGCAAATAAAAAAATGATATTTTATTTTATATGATAGGATATGATAGGAATAGAGAATCTAATATTGAATATCGAATTATAGCAAAAAATATTACATAAAAAATGTCGTTTAAATAAATAATTTCTGAAATCTGAAATACTAAACAAAGACTATATTTATCATTTCTATTTTTACATTAAATAGTCAATAGTCAATTATATAAAACAAGTACTTTAAATTTAAACAAGTACTTTAAATTTAAATGGAACATAAGCATAACAAGTTCTGGATTCTAGAATTACGAGAGATACTGAGAGAGATTAAAAAATCAAAATATTTTTTAGATTCATGGACCCAATTGAATTCAATCGGATCTTCCATTCATATTTTAGTCTCCCAAGAACGGTTTTTAAAACTTTTTGACCCACAAATTTGGAGTCTTGTACTTTCATCTAATTTGCAGGGTTCAAAAAGCAATCGATCAGTCAAGATTAAGGGAGTTTTACTAGTTTTCGTTGGCGTTGTTATCTTTATTTATCGTATTAGCAATCAAAATATGGTTGAAAGAAAAAATCTCTATTTAAAAAGACTTTTTCCTATACGGATGAATTGCATTGAATCCATAACTGATCAAGATAGTGGTTATTCTACTCTAAATCGATTGAGTATTTTACTCCTTTCTTTTCCAAAAGGCAAAAATCCAATTGATATTGATTTACTGAATCCAAACTATAATACTCGGGTTTTGCCAATAAAAAAACCCTAACATGCCTCAATCAAAGTTAGATTCGACGCAGGGGAAAAACTTTATTAGAGAAATTATTAGATGAACTAGAACGGAATTTAGAGAAATTCCAATGAAACTTCTTGGTTTAAATCTGGTATTCTTAAAAGAGAAAAAATCGCTGGAGTTTCCTTATGATTCCACAAGATCTAGTTCCTTACAAGTAAAAGATTCCGGCCAACCGAAAGGATCCTTGGATATATTTTTTTTTGGATTCCATTAGAAATGAGGATTCCGAATATTCCAAATTAATGAATAAAAGAAAATTTAAACAACGAAAACAAAGATCAACTTCTTGGGATCCTTCCTTTCTTAAAACGGAACAAAAAGAGATCAAAGGCCGTAAACCCACGCTAAGCCTTCCGTTTCCAAAAGAAAGGGAACAACTTCGGGGCAATGCCCCGAGGTCCCTTTATTCATTTTACTCTGATAGATGGTCAGAACTTTATATGGGATCAACTCCTATTGCTAAGTCCAATATGGATCCGAAATTTAGGAATAAATCTCTTTCTTTTGTCCGGCAAGCGGAAAAGAAAGAAATAGTTAATCTATTTAGAATACTTACGTATTTAAAAAGGACTGTTTTAATTAAGTCTATTTCTTTGGATCCCGAAATAGAAAATTCGAAGAATACTGGATTTCTTAAAAAAACTCCATTATTTTCTTTTGTTAACCGATTCCTTGAAAGTAAACAAGGAAGCTATGTGCTACAACATAATTGGAAATCAGAAAAAAAATTACAACAAAGTCCAGGTTTATTTATTCTGACAATTAGCGAGCCTGATCCAGTCTATAATAAGGGATTTACTTTTTTTGTTAATATAGATTCATATGAATTGCATAAAATCAAATTATTGAATCAAATATTCAATACTAGGATTGAATAAAAAAATCAATCTTTGTTGGCTCTTTCGCCTATTTTTTCCGTTATAAGGAGAATAACTATTTTTTCAGCGAACGGGCCCATGAAAAATGACATTAACATCAAATTCTTTTCGCGTGTTACGGCATACTTAATAAATCAAATAAAACCTTAAAATTTCAATGTAATTAAAACACCTTCCTTTGTAGTGTTAATTTGTTGTATGATTGATATTGGTTTGTATAAATTCCAAATCAATTAAACAAATAGTTTCACTTTCATTCTGAACATACCAAACTATGGAAGTAGGACATCAACATAGCAAGAAAACGTCTAAGCAACAGTGACATATTCTTCAACCAATGGGATCAACTCACAGTCATAATTAAGTTTACATGTAATATTAACTTAATTAACACAAATCATGAATATTACTAATTTGAATAAAATAAGATAGTACACATACCAATATGTGGAAATGACTGTGATGTTGAAGAAAAGACATTGTTAATAAATGGTAGCCGAGCTTCAAATCAGTCAAGAAAATTCAGTCCCTAATTAAACTCGTACTAAACAACTTAGCTAATTTATTTCATAATAAAAGTGATAAAATAAAATAAAATATACAATATTTGATGTCACAATTTATTAATCAAGAAAAAAGATAATAGACATACCTATATTTAGAGTACTCATTGTGGCCGGTCGCCCCATTTTTTCTAATAAATTTACACCAAAGATAATTTAGTTGAAATAACATTTAGGAAAATCAACAAATTCAAAGTCTACAAATTTTAATATTTATTTCATCATATTAATAAAAATTCATCTCCACTAAACTAACACTACAAAATAATCATAATGATAATGATAATAATAATTATAAAATCAGTTAACAATGTGAACTAGAATTAAAAGTATAATCAAATCTTACTATTACTCCTAGAAAATGAATAATTAAATTAATTAAAAGTTGGGAATACTTACCAAATTGAGCAAAGCACTGCTATTGAAGGTAAATTAAAAGAGATGTGCGTTGGCGTTGCCTTCAACTTGACGTCATTGCCGACTCGCCGTTACTTGTCACTGCCAATGACCGACTTGCATTAATTTCAAAAAACCGGTGTATTTATTTCAAAAAACCGTTACTTGTATACGCTTCGAATCTTATACAATAACCGGTGCATTTATTTCAAAAAATAAAAATTTAACGAAAATAAAAAATAATGCGTCAGTTATTATTAAGGAACCACTAAGCGTGTGTCGTACTTTTTTTAATACAATTTTGAAATTATCGGTTTTGTGTTTTTGAAAGAAAATTATCGCTTTTGTAGTACCAAGAATTAGTTTTTTCCCACTATTGTGATTTTTTATCAAAGCTTTGAAATTAAAAGTAAAATTTAGAATGAGAAAATTCAAATTCTAAATTTACACCTCATCTCAAGTCCTCACATGGGTCATGTCTACATGTTGTCCTCTAACTGTTAATTAAAGTTTACATATTCTTTTTACAATTCAGCAAATTCTGTCAGAATTTCGTCAATTTACGCAGATACAATCATTTTGAATGTTACCAAACGGGTTCTAAAATTCTAGACTAAAATTACGAAGTTTTATTTCGTGTTGTTTTTTTGAACAAACTAGTAAACTTTTTTGGTCTAGTCGAATATAATTATATAAAGATCTTATTCTTATGCTCTGTACGATTTAATTATACTATATAACTTTGCCAAACTAGTAAAGTTTTGGAGTAAAATTAAAAAGGAATTTTATCAATTCAGGACCCGAAAGATAGATTAATTATCAATTCGGGACCTGAAAGATAAAATGCATCGATATTGGACCCGAATGATGAAAAACTATCAATTTAGGACCTGAATGATTGAAAACTATTAATCTAGGACCTAAGTTGCATAATTTTTTCATTAAAAAAATTTAAATATTATTTTATTTTATTAAACTAATAAACTTTTGTGAAGAAAAGTTTATCAAAAAATAGTAATGGAACTAATAAAAAATTAAATAAATCAAAACCTATGAAACGTTAGGTCCTAAATTGATAGTTTTCCATCATTCGGGTTCAATACTGATATGTTTCATCTTTCGGGTCCTGAATTGATAATTAATCTATCTTTCGGGTCCTGAATTGATAAAATTCCAATTAAAAAAGAGCGTTGCTATTTAATTTTTTGTAAGGTAGATTGATTCTATGGTACCCATAAGGTACCATACCTTTGTCCACATGGACCAATGAGAATGTAGCAGTTGAATTATTTAAATCTAAATAAAAAATGATAAAAGTGATGTGATTCAATCAAATGAATGATAGATACGATACCCCATTTTTCAGAAAGCTACCGGAGTTGTAGCCTTTTTGTAAACCAGGTAAGAGTAGCAGGGTTTAGTTGCAACATATACTCCGTCCTTATATTCGAACTTGCCAGGTTAACAATCCGGCAAGTCTTCTCCCGCCATCTACAGACCGTGACCTCATCGGTTCTTGCTTCTTCCTTCCTCTCACAAAAAAAACCCAGAGATCAAGAACGAGGAAAAATTTGACCGTTGTTAACATATATGTAGTCGAACTTGCCAGTTGGCAATCCCGCTCCCACTATATAAACAAACATATATCTACTCATACCCGTTACCATTCGATCGTCAAATCCCCATTCCGTTTTCTTGATTTGTCGCAAAAACAAAACCCAGAAAGACAAAGTCTTGTTCCTGCGGTGCGGGGAAACCCAATTCAATTTTGATGTGGAGCTCGCCCTAGATCTACGGACTCCGGTATGTATTCTAATTCCACAATCTTGAATACCCTGTTTCTTTCTTGAATAACAATAACCTTCTTCCTTGATTCTTGATGTGGCGCTGAAAAGTTCTTCTAGGGATGGATGTTCTTTAATTTCAATTTTAAATAATTCGTATCTTGCTCAAACCAATAAAAACAGCTGACTAAAACTGAAATCTCAGAATTGCTTGACATGATCGAATCGAGCAAGCAATAATGTGGGTACAAGGTTTTATAATACCCAGTTTCCATTTCTTGCTTCTTCCTTTGTCTCGATCAGAAACAAACCCAGACTGCCTGCTAACATAGTGTTCTTGATCCTGAGGGTAAACCCAAGTTCTTGATTCTGATGTGGAGCTAATAAAAATAACCTTTTTTCTTGATGTATGTATTCTTATTCCATCTTGAATTCTTGATCGAATATATACTAGGGCTATGAGACATTGAAAACTGTTAACAAACTGCCTTTCACTCATCACTTCATTTTTATATTGTGCTTTAATTATTATTTTTGAATATATGCCAACAGTAATTTTACATGCACCATGTTGATTCTGCAAAAAAGGAATTCCTGATTAATGTAAGCAATGTTATTAATATGTCCATAAGGGATAGCTGCATATTATTCAGGTCTGTCTCTTCCAACTGTGAAGCATGTTTTGTAACAGTATTGTCCAATACATCCCCCTCCTCTTCAGATTCATCCAACATGATGATCTGAAAGTGTTTCATCTTACAGCTGTGATCTCTGCCCCATCTTTCACCACATTTGAAACATAAACTTTTTCTGCTCAATTCTTGTAACTCAGCTTGAGATCGTCTGTGTGTACTCCTTATGCCCTGCTCTTTATTCTCTGTCTCCATTTTCTTTTCTACTGCAGGTTTCCCTTCTCTGGACTGGTTATTCATACTGCTCTTCCACTTATTTTCATCCATCCATTTGTGATTTTGTGATACAATATACCCTTTTTCCTTCATTCCTCTTCTATCTTCTTCCTTGTTTTTGGCAGATCTGAGAGTTTGGTTCCTCTGTTCAACAAGCAAAGCCCTATCCATCAATTCTGCAAGAGTTCTGACTGGATATAATTTTAATTCAGCTTTGATTTCATCTTTCAAACCCTTCATAAAAATTCCCTTCACAAAGAAGGAAGTCTAATTGAAAATGAAGATTTAGGTTCTAACAATACGAGAATAAATGACACATTTCTTTTCTAAAAGAATAAAACATGAATGTAATTTAATTTGGTGCGGAAAAATTAAAGGACAATAACTTTATTGAAGGTGCTGAGGGAGCACACCTATCTAAATTAAAGTCTAAACCTAAATAAATCAAATAACAACTAACTAAACAAAGTCTAAACTACATTTGATGTAATGAGCTTAAACCATTGACTCTGAGGGTTTCTCAAGTCACCCTCTTCCAAACTTTTTTCTAGCTAACACCTATCTTTCTTGAATAACAATTACCTTCTTTCTTGTTTCTTGATGTGGCGCTGCAAAGTTAAGGATGGTGATCGAGTTGCTCCGTAGCCTTCTTTCCTGAATACAATTCTTCTTGATGATCCCGTCATAGAAGCCATGGCAGAAATTCTTCCTTCGCAAACCTGGTAATTATTAAACCAATGACCAGTTTTCTATGGATTTCTTGACTAATATGCATCTGTTTATTATCCTGATACTTTCATTTATGAGTACCTATTCAGTGTGCATCTGTTTATTTTCAAATCATCACCCGGTCCTTGGTGAAGTCTGTTCATGTCTATGTCTCTCCATAGAAATTCCAGGAAACCTGCATGTTACTAGTACAATTCTTTATTATTGATGTTTTGATGCATGAGTAAATCATGAACGAAATTATTGTTGAAGCAGATTGATTACTCTGAAAATGACTAAAAACTAGTCCGTATATCTTTTTGAGAGCCCCCTTGATCTTCAGCCATCTTTTTTCCTTTTTCCCAATCCTGTATCATCAAAATAATTGGAATCGTAAGCTTTCAATATTTTATGAACAGATGGAACGAATTCAATTATGATGGAACAAGTCCAATTATTGTATTAATGATCCCAAAATTAATTGTTTTATTCTTGAAAAGCATTTCTTTTAAGCTAATACAACTACGTAATTATTAGTATAGCACTCAATGCAATGGATTTTATTAAACAAAACAATACTTTTCAAATCAATGGAATACAATAATTATGCTACAAAGAATAGAGTTCAATAGTCGTCAAACAATATGAATACAAAC